GACCAACTGAATCTTCGCGTTGAGGTATCCGACGAGTTACGGAACCATCTCTTGGACCTGTTTTGGAGTTGGCAGAATACATGGCAGTACCTCGTCGTCAAGGAATTGTTCCTCGAGGATCTGTACATAACACATTCCGGCCGATATGCTTCGCCTCTGTTGCTGTCTGCGGTATTGGCGCTTGCAGCCCGGTACTCGGATCGTGTTGAGCTTCGAAGTGATCCTCTTAAACAAAATACGGCGGGTAATGCTTTGGCTGAGCAGGCTAAGATGATACTGTTTTACGAGAGCCAGGCGCCGAAAGTGACGACAGTGCAAGCGACAGCGTTACTTGGGCTTCGAGAGATAGCTACTGACAAGGAGGCTCTTGGATGGATGTATTGCGGTAAGAGAATCGGCACCAAGACGAGTGAGATGTTAAAAGTAATATAGGCATGGCAGCGAGAATGGCCTTTAACCTCGGACTTCATCTTGACCGCAGTCACTGGGTTGAAACGGGACACATAACCAAGGACGAAGCAGAAGTTGGGACCATTGTTTGGTGGGGATGCTATGTTTTAGACAAGTGAGCTTTCTCTTCATCCGTTGCCGAGAGAGGTATACAGCTAACATGACCACTTGAGGCTATTCAACATTGGACTTGGTCGACCATCCACTATCCAAGAACACGAAACATCTGCCCAGCTGCCTTCTATGGAGCATAGCGCAGAGTATGAATCTTGGCATTCTGAGTCCCCGATCGGTGACCCTATCGTTTTTCCACGGAGTCATCAAGTCTCGAATGTTCGTGCGACCGTTCAGCTATTCAGAGTCACATCATCGGCCCTGGATGAGATGTAAGTCATATTTCTCGTCCGCTCATTCAGCACTAATGTCTCCAAAGATATAGACCGGGCAGTCAATATTCCAAGACTCGGATTATGGAACTCGTCACAAAAACGCATGTCAATATCATCGAGTTTCAGATAAATCTTCCAAGCTGTCTTCGTCTTTCACCGTCACCACTCGCGCCTACTCTACCTCACATATACTTGCTCCAGTGAGTTCTAAAGTTCTGCCTTTCAAAACTCTAAGTACTTATAGCGCTGCAGTCTTCAGATCCATGTTGCCATAATCTTGCTGCATCGACCCTTCGTTGGAGTGCAGCGAAGGACACTGAACCCTGGCAACTTTCATCCCAACACTGGATCAAGTCATCTCAAAGAATGCAGTCAGTCCTCGCATTCCATCTCAAATATTTTCCGGCTTTACAGCAAACACTATACTTTGGTAGGCAGCTCTTCCAGTCCCATTGGCATCATGATGCTAACTTTTGTCTTAGCGACGAATACCAATCTCAGCCATCCACTGTGCTTTCACGGCATCAATTATTCTTCTCCTCGAAACTACGTCTACGGATACTAAAGACCGTGATCGCGCTATAGCTTCATTAAAAGTATTAGCTGAAGCGCTCGCTGATATGAGTACTGCTTGGGCTTGGAGCCAGCGTGCACTGTTTGCGATTCGCCAATTGGCTCGGGAATGGTTAGTCAGCGAAGATGCATTTGGTGCACTTGGGATCAATAAGGAAGAAAGCCGGCAGGTTATTGGGGATACTATCACAGGTACAACACAAGGGCGTGATGACGATGAGTCTAATAGTTCGCTTTGGGTAGCAGAAGGTCCCCATTGCTTTGACATGGATATTCCATTCATGACTAGCGAAGGTCTGGACTACCAGGGATGGATTGGCACGCTGTTTACAGAACCGGGATATCCGGGCGACGCTGCTTGACTAAAACAACTAGAAGATAAACAATGAAAGCTATCAGCTATTCAAGGCAACGCGTACCGAGGTCAGCCGATAACATTAGTGGTCGCAGTCTAGCATAGTCTGTGTAGTTTCTTATCGCTTGAATCAATAATGCCGTGTTTCGGGCACTGTTGAGATAACGAATGTGAACACGCGAAGATCAAGTTCAGTGAGGGGATTGGGTGGATAATGCTTAGCCGGGTCTAGGCCAGCAGTGCTTTCGGGCCTTGCGTATCACTAAAGCCTCCCAATCTGTGGGGTAATATTAGGCTGCTTAGCAGTGCAGCACCTACGTTAACTCTGTTATGGATAATGCTTAGCCGAGAAGATGGGCGATGTAGACGATGGCCACTGTTAGATGCTAGTATGTGGAAAGCTTATGAACATTGGGGAAACAAGTATATAAGTAAGTATCTTACGTATCTCAGCGTTAAAAAATCCGAAGTATTATCTCAACACATATTCCTTTGCCTGTTTTCCCCACTAGACCTATCAAAATGTCAATCCGTCAATGGAAAGCCGCCATTTGCCAGGCTGAGCCATGCTGGTTCGACAAAGTCGCCGGTGTCAAAAAGACAATCCATCTCATCAACGAAGCCAGCCAGAACGGGGCTTCCCTCATAGCCTTCTCGGAAGTCTGGCTCCCTGGCTACCCCAATTTCCTATGGTCAGGAACATACAGAGAGAACATGCCCCTAGTTCAAAAGTACATGCAAAACAGTATATCTGCCTATGGGGATGAGATGCTCGAGATCCGACAAGCTACAGCAGCTGCCAACATCTATGTATGTTTTGGTTTCAGTGAGCGGGTTGGAGCTTCGTTGTATCTCGCCCAGGTCCTCATTGGTCCTGATGGTAACATACTTCTTCATCGTCGCAAGACAAAGCCTACGCATGTTGAGAGGACTATCTTTGGAGACTCCACTGGAGATTCCCTTACTACCGTGGTAGACACTCCGCTGGGGAAGATTGGCATGTTGAACTGCTGGGGTAAGTTCATATTTCATGGTCCTGATGCTCTACTGATGACTTTATCCAGAGCACCTACAGCCTCTCCTTAAATATCACACCTACTGCCAAGGTGAACAGGTCCATATCGCTGCCTGGCCATTCAACGCAAAGTGGACTGAATCGGCTGTTGAGCCCTACTCGGTATTTTCGGAGGCCAACGAGGTCACAGCCAGTCGCATGTATGCACTCGAGGGCGCTGTCTACGTCCTCGTGACCAACCAGCCACTGTCCGCCGAAGGCGCCAAGCTGAACAGTGAGGGTCAAGGAAACGCTGATAAAGACGGATTCATGCTCGCCGGTGGTGGTGGTGCGGCTGCTGCCTTTGGTCCAGATGGTCGACAGCTAACGGAGCCTACTGATCCGTTGTTCGATGGTCTCATCTACTGCGACATTGATCTGGACAAGATTGACTACGCAAAGACCTTGACTGACTGTGTGGGCCACTACTCACGACCTGATCTGCTGCGACTAGTTGTTGATGATCAGCCGAAGAACTATGTCGTTCGCGTATCTGATGGTCCGACGAATACTCCTTATCACACTGGTACCAGCGGCGAGACATTGCTTTCTGCTCACGAGAAGTTGGATGAGCTTCTTGCTGGGAAAGCGAAGAAAGAAGTGACAGGTCCATAGAATAAAAATTTGGATATTTTGTAGTTGATAAGGACGAGGGAAGAGAAATATGGAGCTCCTAGATAGAGTGAAAATATAGGAGCATTATGGAAAATATTGAACATTAGCACAGACAGGGCACGATGTTTAGAATAGAAGTAAATAATGGAAAATTGCATGAGAATGTATTGAGATGACGTTTTGTGGCTTTAAAGAGGCACTAGAAGCTATCATAAAACTTTCATCCAGCTAAAGATTCGACACATCCCACTATCCTTTGGCGCCTCGCTGAGTGCTACAGACAAGTTGGTCGAACGCCAGGCCCACAAATAAGTTCAAAAGGCCAATTTATGCCAGCAAACTCCTAAATTAGTGGAGAATCATGCTGCTTATGCATGGTTTAAAGCCAAGAGCAAGCATACCGTTACCATGAGCGAGATGGCTGTTGAGTATCGGCCCCTAGACGGGACCCTCCGTACTGGCCAATTTGGCAACCGCTCGGAGAATCAAGGGGTCCTACTTTTAAAGACATGGTGTTGGTTCAGAGTCGTAGATACATACAGCTTTCTCAGTGGCCAAAGAAAAATCCAGGCCAGCCATAATCTTTTTCTCTCACCCACGCACGCGGTCTGACGGCTCCAGAATGCCAGCAAATCCACCACAGCGGGCCAGACTGTTGCTTGCCTGACGGGATAGCCTAATGGGCCGCCGGTACATTGGCGGTTTGCTGGCCTTGGCAAGGATACCGACTCTCGGTACTCAATGCCGTTTTTTGTCTTGCTGTTTACTGTAGCGCTTCGCAGCTGTTCTACATTTAGCTTTCCAGGTCACGGTAAATGGTTCATAGAATTATCAGGGGACTGGAGAGCCTGGATCTGTTCTGCTCGCGATATCACTCAAAAAAGGCACGTAAGGTTCCATGCTGTCTAGTCCCTTCAGGTCTTTTAGTAACCTACTGATAGACCTCGATCAGGTAGGACGACGTAAATCAATGTAACCGTACTACCGTATATTTGTACGAGTTAGGACCGTGCTGCAGATCACAACCACCTTCCTCTACCGGACATTGCGGTATTGACTGAATTTTCAAATCGTTCCTCACCAACAAACCGAACTGTTAACGCTCGTGTCAAAGGGCCAACAGGGGTACCCCAGTCTGAGAATGAAAATGGAAGGTAGGTTTGATGATCCGTAATCTAAGGACCAATTAGAAACAAGTTTAACGTTGGATCCCTGGTGCTCCGTCTAGAGCCACTAGAGCCGTAATAATGTCCGCGTTATGGAGTGGACAGATGATCATTCAGCTTCCGTCGATCAAAGAGAACAATGCCTCCACCTAATTGCAGAGATTCACCGTGCCGTGCCACGTATTCTATGATGGATTCCCCGCTTCTCGGAAATGCCCCGCCACTGACTAAACTCGTCTCTTTTACCTGTCATGTATGGCAAGTAGGCGTTGATTCATCATTCATGTCTCACCAATATCTATAAAAGGGCCGCCTAGCTGCTGTTGAGTTTATAATTGAGCAGGCACTACTGAATTCCGTATCTCACCTATCTTCATAACCTAGAGTTCCTGTCCAAGATGCAACTTCTTTATGTCCTTACTGGCCTGCTTGCCGGGGCCTCCGTTGCCGTCGCGTCTCCAGCTTCAGAGCCAAATACCAAGCTCAAGACCCGTCAGTTTAATTATGGGGTTAGTATCTCAGCCAAACTTCATTATTCCAACTGGGTTACTGACCACATATAAGAAATGCAATGGTACTAGCTGCAAGGTTGCACTGTCCAATTTGTACGTTTTCGATCTCTCTTATTTATAGATGAACTCTACTGATATCATACCTATATAGGAGGTGTCAGGTCGGCTCGGTATTGAACCTTTAGTCCTAAGGTATTTCATATTGCTAATAAATACCCCTAGTGTACCAGACAAAGCGGCGCTGGTGATGGAAAGACTTGCTGGATTGATGATAGGGATCACAAAGTTCACTGTCCAGGACGGGGCTGATTTTCAATTAGTCTAACTATTTATATATGGACAAGAATGGCTCAAAGTTATAGTATAGGCATATTGTCTTGAATTGGATTAAGATGTCATTTATAAATGATGTCAAACAAAGAAATTGAAGCTCAACATGAGGTTTAATAGTTATCCATTCTAAATAGACTGAAGATATAAGACAATTTGAAACTTAGACAATATACAACATCTCTATAGATGATCAGTTATTATGGTATAAATAGGATATTTAGTCCATTCATTGGGGAACTTATTAAGCATGTCTGTTTCCGTTGCATCCAAGCTCTTAACCGCCAAACCAAGCTCAACCTCGATAGGCATAGAGCAATGCTGGACTATCCATTTATCTATTTATCTTCTGGGATATGCGCAAGAACCAGAGTAGCAGTCACACTGGCTCTCAAGCATTTCTCGTCCATAATATCGAACGCGTGACGGTACGTTGGCAAGTCTTTTGGCGGTGACACCTCAAAGACGTCATGAAGATGACCAACAAATCGTTAATGCAATCGTCTAGATCTTTGAGTTCTTGATGGTGGTTCTCGACTTTGAAGATGTCTGGTTTCTCGAGCCTTCCATTTGGCCAGTTCAAGATCTTCGTCGCATATGTCTCTGTCGCGGTGTCGCATGCTCGCTGAACGTCTTGGGGAGTGACGTCATGCAATCCATACACTAAGACAATGCTGTTTTCAAGAGCGTGGAAATTGCCTTCTCCGAAAAGGGCACTGGCTCTGTGAGAGACTTTGTCAGACAATGTCGGTAAAGGTCTCAGTCAATTATTGAAAACCCCAGTGTAGAGAGAAGAGGAGGGGAAGGCTTCAACATATGCGAATATTGTTGATATGCATTGAGAGATATATATCTAAGCATTATACCGCGAACATGATTCGGACAATTCCAAGACAGGGCACCTTCTCCCGTTAACTTCAAGCACATATAATCACTAACAAGACTAATCAAACCCACGGGCCTTCCCTGCTCATTTTCGCAAACAAAACTAAGATAGCAGTTAGATAAGTGGAATGCCATGACTGCTGACCATCTTCCATATGACTTACCCCTCTTGTTCATGTCCACTTCCTCCAGGGCAGTCCGGGCCGCGTTCATCGAACCTTCTGCTGCACGGATGTGACCCCTGATTGACTGTTTGTTTTGGTAGGCATACGGATACTGCTCTAGATAGTGCAATCGCTGCTCGGCAGTACTGGAATAGCCATCTTGTCAGCCCTCCCAGCCTTGGTGATCTTGTTTGTTTCAGGTTGTACTTACTTAATTGTCGCTCTCAACCATTGTTCTTGCAACGCAAATATCTCCATTTGTTCTTCTTGGGATGCATAGAGGAACTTATTGTTATGCCGCCTCATTTCCTGGTCATAGGCGTTCTTGCACTGGCTTGTATAATCAACCGACTGTTTGTACACCTCATAAAGTACAATCATTGACGGTGAGTTTAGTGCCTGCCTATACTCCGCTTCATCGATCTTCTTCTGCCTGTGGGAGAGGCGCTTCCTGAGAGAGATCAGGTGTTCGATACGTTCACCCATGTCTCTGATCTCGAATCTGAAAGACATCAAGCCATTGGTAAGCAATTCTTGCGAGTCAGCGGACATAACTGATGGTTCGTATCGAAGATTCGTTTCTGCCTGTGGCCTGGTGTTGGCGTGACTGGAACCAGCCTGATTGGAGCTAGCACGGCTGGATATAGGCCGACTGGAGGTGGCCTGGCTAGAGATGGCCTGACTTGGTACACCGTTCCTGGAGACTGCCCGACTAGAACCTCCATCAGAGCGGCTTGAGGAGGATGCTCGAGCCTCCAGGTGGCTAGGAAGACGTGAGACTTGCCGAGCAGGTATTCCGGGCCCATAGTGCGCCGCAGGCTGTTATATGTCAGACATATAGAATATACGGTCGATCATATCACGATACGCACCCTCGCCATCTCAAGTTCGTCGGTGCGCCTCTCTACCACTGGACCTCTGCCGTCTTTGCATCGGCTAGAGAAATATCCTTTGGTGTTGCAGGAGTAACACATGATCGGAATAAAGGGCGAATTGGTAAAATATGAAGTAAAATGGGATGCAAATTGATCAAATTGACACGAGATGCAGGCAATGGTAAATGGCGTGTATACCTTTATCTAGAGTAAAGATCAGAACAATGGTAATGGGATTGAATGCTGATGTGCTGTTTGAATGATTATCTGTATTCTATAGATCTGGGACGGTATTGAGGACTCTCTTATACTTAGAAAGTAGGATGATTACTCACGCATTCGATATGTAAAGGACCTCCAAGACCAAAGTCCATCTGCATGTTGGTCGAACGCATGGTCGATGGAAATGGTCTCGCGAGTTTCAGGTTTGGCTAAGCCCGGCAGACCAGAACCTTAGAAAGAGCTGTTAAAAACTTGACTGGTGTATTCGTCCCATTTCGAGACCAACAGACTGTTACCTTCGGCGGCATGAACGCTTGGGTCGCATTTAAGAGGCTCGGTTTTACAACGCTTGCGTTTAGACGCGCGTCTTGGTCCCGGCCACTTGCATGACCGTACCCACGCCATGAGAACGCGCTCGTAAATGTAGAAACTCCTCAGACCACATTGAAGCTTATAGCCGAGAATGACAGACCAGCACAGCCTCGTTGATGTGACTGTTGGTGATAAGCGCGTTTGGGCGCGAACTGGCGCGATTTAATTGGTTGTTCGCATTGCCCCGCTCTAGCCGCGCGACATCTCCGACATTTCTGTTCTATTTCCAACATCTACCAACATCCATCTTCTACCCGTCAATCAGTCGACAGCTTGAGCAAAAGTTGACAAATCGAGTGGACACCTCTGCGCGTTATCAAAAAACAGGTAAGTAGCCCACAATAACGGCCCCAGCAGTCAACCGGCAGTTATCTCTACTCGTGCTCAAGAAGCTTACAACCTGTAGTTCTGCGCAGCATTTCTCTTTTCGCGCACATTCTTATCATGCAGAGATTAAAACGGCTTCTGCAGAGGAAACGTCCTAAAAGGGACGAAGTTCAAAGGGACGAACAGAGTCCTGCTCAGGTACCTCTTCCGACACCCGTTGTCACCGATAGCCCAAAGACTCCCTCTCTATCTGACCTCGAGCGACTTCCTTTTGAGATCAGAAACGGGTTTTTGCTTGCCATAGACTCCATAACAGATCTCTCTGCCTTAGTTCATGCATCTCCCACCTTTCATGAACAATACCGACTTGACCGAGCGTTTTGGCTTTGGCATTGCTTACAGCTGGAAATGGGCCATGTTTTTGTTGATGCCTACATCGCCAACCAATGCAACTCTCCCGAGTTTCGCTTGAAACGCAACCGGGAAAGGGTTTTATTATTCATTGAGGATTACAAGTCGCATCGCTCAATGATCACTGAGGTACTTACTAAATGCCCGGACGAGGATGAGATGTTGAGCATCGCCGCTTTCCATTCTTCCGTCATTCGCCCACTAATGAATCACTATGTCTCCTGGGCTCACGGAAATATGGAGCTTCTCTCAACACCAAAGGACATCAGCCGCACAGAGGAAAGGCGCATAATGCGGGGCTTTTACCGCTTCCAAATATTCAGTAACCTCTTTGGAGCCGTCAAAGACGTAGATCATGGAGAGAGCTTCCTTGGATCTGAAGAAAGACTTTCTCTCTTCCTAGCTGATTTTATGGCATGGGAGATTGAGGAAATGCTGTGCATCAACGCCTTTGTGCAGGCCAAGTATGAAAGTGTGTTTCAGGCCATCCAATGGGACTTGCATCCTGATAACCCGTCGTTCGATTCCTCAAGGACCGGCCCACATACACCCCCCGGCGCATTCCACCTTGCTAATCATAGTAAGTACCATGGCAATGTCTGTAAATGTGTTGTTAACCCATCTAGTGTCCTCGGAATGGTACAGGAACGGCATGGTCTCAAGGGGGCTTTGCGTTCTGTCCTCCGTATTCAAGGCTCAGGGCCATCTAAAACTGGTCGAAGTAGTCTCGGAGGAGATTGTGGCGGTCGTGGACGATCTGCTTTTCCGGAGCACTCTATCTTATTATCAAGAAGCGAGACGTGAGAACCAGCACTCTGACAGGGATCAAGCCCAGGACGACCGTGAGAAGATGGTCTTCAGCAGGGACAGTGATGGCTCGCCTCCATTAGCATGGGTAATCTTTTGGAAAGAGACATACAGCAATCTCTTCGGCGATTTTATACCACAGTCTTTGCGTCAGTGGGGATATGTTATGTGGGACAGCGATCGGTTAGTCAACACTGATGCTGTTGCTAGACTTGATCAGGCTTGGAAAGATATGTATACGGAGCCCGTTCACTACGAGGCGCCGGGAGATCCGAGGGATGAGATGTTGGCTTATCACTGACGGGTATTAAAAATGGCCATGTTTCTTATTGTCAGATCGAAGTAATGCTATCAGTGAGGTGGGAATAGAGGTATAAATTGCAACTATTCACATTGACTTGAGTCGCAAAAAAGTTACATGAAGATTATAGGAAGTGAATCTATGAGTTTAATATGACTAGGAACATGATGCAGCCCAGATTTGTGTTTTTTTATAGCACCAAGCCCGTAGCGTGCTACTCCGGCTATTATCTAGGTCTGTAACCTAACAACCTTTCAGACTGGGAATGGCATTGGGTCCAGAGCCAAATGCAACCAGCTTTTCACCACAGTTGGCTGGTGGAGCCAGTGCAACCTGCTTGTTATCGAGGTCGAAGGCAAGATAGGCAGCTTCCAGGAACGGCTCTGTCCACGTATTAGTAGGTATACAATGACTGCTTATAATGGAAAATCGTCAACTTACGTCCCAGGACTAGCTGTCCCTTCCAGGTGGTCAAAACACCAACCCAACAAGTCTTGCCCTTATCATCTGACTGGTCGGTGATGATCTTGCTGTACGGAATCTTGATCGTGACGTCGCCGAACTGAAAGTCCCAGCTACCAGGCATGTTGCGCCTCTCGCAAGGCACAAAATAGGCGTCATTTCCGTCGTTGACTGCACCAAGCGTCTTGTAAAGAGGATCGACGAAGGAGTGGCGGAATCGGAGGTACTGGTTCGAACTGTCAAGGAGGAAGACTGAGTCATTCTTGTGGACCTCGTAGCTTGTCACCTTGCCAGCCTTGTTCTTGCCATTGGGGATAGTCTGGTGGAGGCCTGTGAGAACGATTGAAGGTCTAAAATCAAGGTTAGTCCACGTTCCGCTCAAAAGTTGGTGTGCAATGCTTGCCCGAAAGTGCCAAGCTCATCCTTTACCAAGGGCCTCTTGACAAGCTTTCCCTTGAATTTACCGGTGTCAATACCACCAAGAAGAATCGAAGCTGTTATTAGACCCAGGGTTAGTGACATACTCTGATAGCCGAACAAAGGGACTTGCCTGGCTTTGAGCCGTGCCTGCGTAGGTCAATGCTATAAGTACGGCTGGCAACCTTTTTGTCTGCAACAAGGTTGTCCAGGAAGGAACTGTAGAGTTCCCCTGGTGCATATCCATGTTCCATACTGGGTCCAAGCGAAAGTGCACCAATCCCATTGAATTCATTCTTGGACGGGTTCAAAAGACCGAAAGCTTGATTAGGGATGCTAACGCCGGCAATTTGAACCGTGTCTTTATGATAATCCAGATCAAACGTGCCGTTACTTGGGGGGTATGTCGTTGGATCTCCGTAGGAAGCTGTGGTATGGCCTAGAACGGGGGACGAGGTCTTGGATTTATTGAGCTGATAGTACCCGTTCACGCAGCCGTCACATTCTGCGTAGATCTTATCAGAGATGAACCCTATAAATCTTAGTAACAACAACGGCCGCGGTCAACAGGAAGCTCATACACGTTGTCGATCTGGCTATGTCCAGAAACAGCTTCATTTTCTGGGGGGGAGTACCAGCCGCAACCTCAGCATTCCATGAATGATAGTCATCTGAACCATCTTCAATCAGAGGCAGAATGTGCACTCCAGAAGGAGATGGGTTGGATTGGCTTCCAGGAATTGCGATAACGCCGAGTGCAGCATCCATGGCCAGGATGGGTAGCGCTAACAACCAATACTGGCGGACCATCTTGAGGTAGTTTGATGGGGAGGTGAGGCACTAGAATGATGGATGCCAGACGTGGATAGAAAGGTCACAGCTGAATATACACTCTATACTATTATTATATATAATTACTTCAAGTAAATACTTTTTATTATTATTAGATTTCTCGTATTCTAAGATGTATTGTAGGTTCTAGAAGTTTAAATCGAAGCTTAACAGTATATCGGATAAGTCGGCGTCGGCATATACAGTTGTAATCTTAATAAAAAAGTTTGAAAAGGGCCATGCAACAGCATCTGTTAAATCACAAGGCTACTTTAGTACTGCATCTCACGAGATCAAGCTGAATTCTTAGCATAAGAGAGGTTATAAGATCAGAACCAAGGAGTAGTAAATTCTAGATCCAGAAAATACTACAGGTTCTCAAATGGGGATAAATAAGACATCACTTTCTGGGTTGACAGTATCCTCTTCAGTGCGCCCTGAGGCCAAACTCTAAACAGCGTGTTATTTATTGCCTAAACAAATAAAGTTTCCGGTATTCTCCAAGCGAAGGTCCAGACGAGGCTCTTTTTCCCACGGCATTGCTCCTTGTAGTTAGGCCCAGTTCCTTCTGTACTCCACTTCTCTGCCAAAATCATACGATGGTCACAGGACGTCCCCAGTTGCGTTGCGACCTCTTCCGCTGTATTGTACATTGTACACTGAGAGCTTCTCCTTTTCAACATCATCACACGAGCAATCAGACAAGGTATGCTCGCTCAGGGACTTCCATATAAAGCTTCTTCAAGAGAAGACTTCCTGAACCCTCACCTTGCAAGGCTTTTCTTGACCGTTCCGAAATGGCTATCTGAACAGTATGTCATGAGCAAAGGGTCATTCATCGGGCATCATGCAGCTGCCAACGCAGCCGACACGTGGAATTCATCGGGTACAAGCATGAACTTGTGGGGTTGCCTTCAAACCCGACAATTCCCTTTCTTGTCTCGGTCAAAGAAAGATTCCTTACCGACAAACCGGAGTCGTGTCACATGTCACTTCACACGTCAATAAAAACAGAGCTTCTCTCAAAAAATTCCCCAATGGATTTCACGTACTTTCTCTTCTGTAATCTTGTCGCAGGTCACCACCTCTGATCCTTTTGTTTCCCCACAAATACAGCCGTAAACTCCAACAAGCTGCCACCTTCAACCATCCTCTTATCTGCTGAGTATCTGCCAGCCCGATACGCAATCAAGAGCCTTTTTCTGCGCATTCCTTACATCACGAACCACAATGAAGCTCACGCGCGCTATATCCTTGACCAATTTCTTCGTGGCCAGTTCTGCCTTGGGATTCCAGGTCTTCGTTTTGTATCCATGGCACAAAGAGTTGGACGCAGAATTCGAGAAGCTAAAGACAGAGCACTTGAAGGTTCTGAACAGAGCGGGAAACAGTCTGAGCGAGCAGCAACAAAAGGCCATGGCCGAAGAATTGAATGAGCTGAAGAACAAAAGCTCGAGAAGGTGGTGGTGGCTTTAATTACCCTTTAAAATACACGGCGATTGCAGCCTGTTTCTCTTTTTCTTTAGTCCATTTGCTCATTCTTATCAGTAGTTTCCCATTCGTCAATCATGCACCTAATCCCTCAGAAGCGATCAGCGCTGCTAAAGACAAATTCTTGCCCACCAAGGACAAGCTTATGGCCACTGCAACAAGTGAAAATTTAACAAGCGTATCTCTCTACGCAAGATACGCTCTCGCGGGCGCGTTTTGTTGCTCTTTCACCCATGCCGTCCTTACTCCCGTTGATGTGTAAGTAACTGACCTTTACAAGACGTTGGTTGACTGTGACATTGGTCTGCCCTACAATAGTATTATCGCTGACACGCATCTCTTTCAGGGTTAAAACAAGGATTCAACTTGATCCAATCACATACAGCAGCAGTCTCTCCAAGAGTGCACGATATATAGTTTCAGCTGAAGGGCTAGGAGCTCTCCTGACGGGACTTGGTCCGACAATCGCCGGCTACTGCCTCCAGGGTGCCTTCAAGTTTGGCGGTTATGAGTATTTTAAGGCTCGTGCAGTGGACTATCTTGGACAGTCGACTGCCTCTAATCACCGCAATGCTGTTTATCTTGGCTCAGCCGCTGCGGCCGAGTTTCTCGGCGATATCGCGCTTTGTCCGTTCGAGTCTGTTCGAATACGACTCGTGTCTCAGCCTAGCTATGCCACCGACAGCGTAAGCGCCCTTGCAAAGCTAGCAAGAGAAGAGGGTATCGGCGGCCTCTACTCTGGCCTGAGCCCTATCCTGCTCAAACAGTACGTGCATCCACACCAACTCCGGTCTCTGTGCTCGGTATGTACCTGGCTGCTAATCTGAATGGCAATTGCAGGATTCCCTATACCATGGCGACGTTCTTAGTCTACGAGAAAGCTATCCAGACGGCATACAGTGTTGTAGACAAGAGAGAACTACCTTCGATAGGAGTTACTGGTATCAACCTTGGGGCTGGACTTATCGCTGGCTTGGCGGCCGCAGTTGTCTCTCAACCGGCCGATACCATGTTGAGTAAAATCAACAAGGAAAAGGCAGGCAGTGGTGAAGGCACAACACGCCGCTTATTCCGCATCGCTTCCGAGCTTGGACTACGCGGTGCTTACACAGGCATGCAGGCACGCGCAGTTATGGTTAGTGGCATGACGGCAGTGCAGTTTGGCATTTACGGAGACATAAAGAAGGTACGTCTAAACCCCAATTCAGCCGCCTTTGTGGTTGTCTATTAAGACTTCTGCTGACTATTACTTCAGCTCTTTGGGGCTACTGATGGGATGGAGTTGAGCCAGAGCCATGTTGTTGAAGAAGATTCTGAACGTGAGTACGCCTAGAACTTTCTTTTGTGAACTAAGTATAGGGATAGAATTATAAAAGAATTGGCCCGAGCTATATATATATAATCTGAACGGGTTTAATGCCGCAACATTTTCCTCTCCGCTATTTTCCGTTCTTTTTTACAATAGAAGTAATGCCTACGCATACCTAAGGTTAAACTTGAGGCTACTAACACAGGTGATGATGAACAGTGAGAATTACTCTATAGTCCTTTGGCTTCGCCCCTATAGATAGTATCGCTAAGTGGGCCACTAATTAGCTATGTTTAGACAAGCTCGTTGACTGTGAGGTCATTGCCAAGATACTCGTCTGATACACAAGTCATATGAGTCATATGGGAGATCATTGATGAAGCGACGATATCGTAGAGAGATATTAAAAATTCTTGTCTACAGGGAAACTCTATAGTGAAGGTGGTTCAGGTGCTTATTCCTGGAAAGCCTGCCTTCCTGTATCCACAGAGCTCAATACACCTTTGGAAACCAGCTTATTGATCAGGTTGAACAGAACAAAGTCGCATCCTCTCTTGGCAACCATGTTAACAGTAACTGGCATGACCTCCTCCTGGAACGTGACATTGCTCTGGTAGCTAACTTGGCCAATGGGAACGGTGATATCGACGTCTCCAAAGTAAGATGAAATGGTCGATACCGCTTTGGGACCTCGAGGATCGACGGGGGATGCAGCTCCTGGTGAGTCATTGAGGTCTTTCTCGCGAAAGGACGGGAGACCACCTGTGCCGATGTCATAGAGAAGGATGGACTCGGAGCAGGAGCTGTTTGTCGAGAAGAGTACTTGTTTGTGCCAAAGAGCTGCATCACGAGTGCGGTTTGCCATGGCAGACTTGTAGCTGCTGTCGTCTGACACTGCATTGCGGAAAAATGATCGGTAAGGCTCGTCAATGGGAGGGAACCCAGGACTGTAATTGGAAATCAGTGGCTCGGCCGTCTCTGTGATCAGATCGTGGGTCCAGAGGACGGTGAGATCGTCAAGCATGCCCTGCAGCGGGCGGTCCAAGGTCTCCTCGATGGTCTGCGTCAAGTTGATCTTGTCGACAGTGACACCAACAGCATCTGCTACATCATCCAGGAACTTCTGTAGGATAGCTTCAGCAGCAGGATTCTGCATCGGAAGATGGTCCACAGGATAGAGGAGACGCTTCGGGAATGTCTGGGCATCAGGAACTGACAGCGCAGGCAGTCCGTTGATCGACGTGTCTTGATGAAGCGAAGGATCGTACCAGGCCTTTGCGAACTTGGCCCAAGCAACAGGATCGCGTGCAAAGACGCCAGCAGTATCCGTGTTGAATGCATTGGTGATGATGTTATCCATGGAAATCATTCCCTGAGAAGGTCTGTTGCCGAATATTCCAGCCACGGCAGCGGGTTCTCTGATAGATTTGCCAGTGTCAGTACCAACAGCAAAGTCAAGCCAGTCGTACGCAGCGATGGAGCAGGCACTTCCAGCAGAGGATGCGGAGCAGGTCAGAAATGTATCGCCACGAGGATTGCGAGGGTAGAACGCGTCGTTCCAGTCCCAAGGGCTCTGAGGTGAGGCGAACTGGGCTGTCTTCTGCTTCCCGACCACGACTCCGCCCTGGTCAATGATGCGCTGGAGAGCTGGGGCTGTTGTATCGGCCTTCGAATGAAGGGAGGCGTACGCTAAGCTACCAGCTGTCGTTTGTATGTCCTCTAGATCGTATATATCCTTGACTCCAATACGCTTTCCAGCGAGAGGTCTGTCATCTTCGATGCTGTACAGTCTCGAGGGGACAGGGATAGATGGGGCGCCCCATTCTGAGTTGGAATAAGGCAAAGTGCGATAGCCATCTTCCGCTTCGTATATGCCAACCATAAATGTTCTGTAGGTATCGACATACAAGCGGAAGACTTTGCTCAAACGGAGGCTATCGCCGTCTGCAAGGCCAAACATGGGGCATGGAGTCAAGGTAGAGTTGCCGCAGAGGCTCGGGCCATCCTTACCTCCATAGATGACAGTTGCGTTGAGGCTACTGAAGTAGCTCACGACAGAAGAGTCAATATCTCCTTCATCGCCCGCACTGACAAGGACAGTTCCGAGGAAAGCCTCGGTGAAAACATCATCTTGCTCCAGTGAGCTCTTGATAACGTCTTCAAGTTCATCAGCTGTAGT